TATATATATATACGGACAGTGCAAATTTAAACACGTTCTTATGGAAACTGGATGGGAAACACTGGTGCAGTTCCAACAGTAAATGCCATAAAAAAAACATAATCTAGAGATAGATTTTCCCGATTTAAATATTTCCGCCGTTGCAAGATGCGCATGCGCGTTACATCCTAGAATGTCTGTATGATGGTTGACTTAAAGTCGACTTACAGTCGTCTTTAAAGTGGGATATTGTATGACTTAGAGACGTCTACAAGTCGTCTAAAATCGACTTATGGACGTCCATTTTTCAGAGACGTCTAGAAGTTATAGTCAACTCAGAATCGACTTTGTGCTGCTAGGGTACTGTGGCGAGGAGCAGCCTGATATTGAGCTGTTCCTCCGAGCCATTTTATATTACGTCCATTTTATATTACGCTTGTTGGAATGATGGCGGAAAAGAAGAGAATTGGATTGGGGGAGAGAGGTGGAGGAAATTAGTCGATCTTCAATAACTGGGAGAATGGTTTTCCATATTTTATGTTGTAGCCATTATCTTTATTTAGATTGTTAGGATGTTTTTGTATCTCTATATCTTTTCCCTATATTTTCTTATAGCATTTTTGGCTACCAAGCTGCACTAACCTAGATTGAAATAATGATATTTCGTGCTCTCCTATTGATAGAACGTGTAACTAATAACGAAACAATTCCTAACGCAAATTGATGTAAACCCGGTCGGGCCAAAAATGCTATTAAAAAGTATGATATAATGTTAGCTATTGTAGTCATGAACTTTAACGCTTAATATCTCGGTTCGCTGGGCAGAGCAACATTTTTTTTTGCCAGATTCTTTCATGCAAACCGCATGAATATCGAATAAGCTTAATTTCATCAAACTCAGCGAGCAAGATATCAATCATGAAACTTTTTTCCTAGGATGAAAAGTGAAAAGTAAAAAATTTTTCCATTAACTTCAATAGTTAAAATTTTCACTTTTCACTTTCCATCTTAGGGATTAATAAGACACAATTCTTGAGTATTACCCAGATTCCCTATTCAAATGTTCCTAGAGTCCCAAAACATCGCTCCGATTCTACCGCCTCTTGAGCGCATTCGGTTTCCTCAGGATGCGATTGTAGGGCGATACGCAATATAGAAACTAATTAGGTAATTATAGGAACCGCGCAAACCATGTCGCTTATTTCTTTTCTTCTCTATTAGAGTGATGTCCCATGCAGCGGATTCACGTATTGCCAATCATAGAATCATTCTCTTAGATATGTTTGTAAATTTCGCAAACAGATCTAAGAGAATGATTCTGTGATTGGCGATACATAAATCCGCTTATACACGATCTGCATGGAACATCACCTTTAGGGTCATTCCACACAACTTGCATAGCCGCATAATTTGCATACGCATAAAGAAAATTATCCAATCATTTCTGTCATAAAGATAAACGTAAAATACGATTGGATGATTTTCTTTATGCATATATTTATGCGGCACGGGCCAATTGTTGAATTTATGGATTCGACGTGCGTCATACAACATTTTATAACCAATTAGAAAGCAGAATTTTATTTCGTATCGACAAAGCAAAATCCTGTTTTCTGATTAGTTGCAGAGAGTCGTACGACGCATCCACGGCGGATCCAGTGTGAATCCAGCAAGTGATAAATTCATGTTACTAAGCATTTTTTAATAAAATTAATTGATTTAAATGCAATTATTAAGTAAATCCATTTTAAAAATAAGAGTATTGATAAAATGCATAGAAATAAGTTAATATATTTTAAAAAATTTATATTAAAATTTATTTGTTACTAGTCCGTGTCACTTATCGCGCTATATGTAAGGCCGGGTTCACTCCTTAACGGAAAAACGGAAAGCAGAAAAGAGGAAACCAATTAGAATTCGCGGAAAAGCAGAAGCAGCAAACAAAATGTAACGTCTACTACTACTATTGCATATATGAGAGAAGCGACATCGATATCGCGATTTCTAATTGTTGTTACCTCTCTAATTAAAGCAGCCTTATATGTCTGCAGTGGAGAGCTGTTATACGTTTCCTTTCTACAGCTGAACTGGTACATACACATATCTAAAATAGAGAATAAATATTTAGTATTTGACAAAAGTGAGGAAAAAAATTTTAGAACAGTCCGGTAAGAAACCTATATTTCAATCGAAATATTAGTATAAAGAATAAAAAGATATATTTCAGTGTTTGTACACTTATTAGCTTAGGTTATAATATAAATATTATAAATAAACATATTATTATATAATAAATAAACATATAATTTGATTTATATTATTTTATTAATCACTTCGTAGAACATATCTCATTCTTCATTTGTTCAATATCAGAAAGCATCACATTTAATTTATTTAAGTTTGCATCGTGCTCGTGTTTCAGACAGATTGTGAAGCTTCATCAATTTGGACTCTCAGTTGATCGAAAATTGATTTATTATTTGTAGTATTACAAAGAGTTTTTGCATTGATCTCTCGAATTTTTTAAAGGTTGATTAAAGTCCTTTTTGCACTAAGAAAAATAGCTATGTCGGAAAAACTTAATAGAAAATATGATATTACTATTTTATAACAAATATACATATATATACATTTATAAATAAAATATGAAGTAATTAATGACAATTAAACTAACCTGATCTACGTAATCCTTTATTTTCATCTGTGTATTTGTGAAATACTTCCTGGCAAAATAGAAACATAATCATGTTACAAAAATATATAACGTTATTGCAACAATGCATTCAATAAAATTATAAAACTAATGTATACAATATGCCATTTACTTTTTTGTGTAACATTTTTAATTAATTATTTAACTATATTATTCAACAAGAAAACACTAAAACATTAATACTTATTCCTCATCCTGACAGAGTTCATGATTCTTTCAATAGAGTAAATAGTTTCATGAGAACTGATCAGCTGATTAACTGGAGCGGGCTAAATATGGCGGTGCTGAACATGTGTTAAAGATAGTAGTGGGAGATGAATGTCGCTTCTCTTATATATAGGATTCTATTACTGCGAGTTTCAATTGGTTTCCGCTTTTCCGCTTTCCGTTTTTTTATCGAGATGTAAACCCAGCCTAATAGACAAGAAAAGAAGCAAGGTTTGCGCAGTTCCTAGTTACCTAGTTAATTTCTGTACGGCAATATAATCCTCACTCAGATGACTTCTAGAAAGTAGAGCGAGCCTACTCTTCCAACTACCCAGCGACCTCTCATCGAGCGAGGAATCCGAATGCACCCCAGAATATAAAATCCGTCATCATCTATTAATCAGTGTCACATCCGCAATAACCTCATTTTTTTGTCCAATGATTATTTCCGAACAGACTCACTAACAGTACAGGCGGACATCTCTTGGAACATACCTGACACTTCTCACACGTATCAACGGTGGCACGATCAATAGAAGAGGGTCTTAGGGACGCCCACGAAAAAAAACTTAAGAGAAATCGTAGAGTAGTAGTGCGCGTCGTACAGAGACACACGCGAACTTCAGTCCCCTTTCACTATCTGGCAAAATCGCCCCTCTAATTTCTTTAAACGCTGTGTGCGAACGTAATACTAAGTCTGAACACGACTTTTTCGCATTTCAATTTCTAAATCAAAGAATTCCAATTCTAATTTTAAATCAAAAGCATTAATTCAATTTCTAAATCATAAATCCTAATTCGTAAGTTGTAATTTTTAATTAACTTAGAATTAAATCTGTCCTCGTGTAAAATTAGTAATTAAGGCATTAACTACGAATTATTATTAAATATACATTCAATTAATCTCATTTGAGTGTGCATTTCATGGACATCTTCATTCTCTTCGCTAATTCATCCTAATGCTAATAATAATATAACCGCTATCGAATATTAACAAAAGATGATTGCGTTATTGATGCAACTCGAATCAGCAGTCAAATTTGTCCAGGAAGCAGTAGAAGCTTTGGTACATCGATCACTCTCTTTTCTGCTGGCATTTTGGGAATACAGATCATCCATCCGAGTATCTCAAGGTAATAACATTTTTTTTCACTTCACTAATTGAAACTCGTCGTAAATGAAGAGCATGTGCCCTATACTTCCACATTCGCACACCTTTATCAACGCTTGACTCTTATACTCGTATTCATAGTCAGGCTTTATATTTAAAACTTTCTTAAATTTATCTTTAGATACTCTACGAATTATTTCATTGGCTGCTGAGCATTTATCTAAAGATAAATTTAAGGAAGCCTTAAATACAAGATCTGACTATAAATATAGGCAATAAACTGCGATTTTTGGGAAATATCTAGGGCTATGTTTCAAAACTTCTCCGAGGAAAATTTGACTTGAAATATATAGTACACATAACATATACTATAGCATATAAAGTAAAATCTTTCTCGAAGAAGTTTTGGAATGTACCCTAGATATATATATCTTTGAAATCGCAGAGATCAATCCTTATATCACGTAAGGTGTGTAGCGGTTGTTGCGTACCCATTTGTTTTATCAACATAAGGAGAATGGAATAATTAAATGCATTAAATGTTACATCTCGTTACCCATTCATGGAAAGGGAAATTATTCCGGAGTTTTACAACATTACGTCCATCTGGATTACTCCGAGCGGTTCGAGATTTGCCACGCGTGCTCTTTGATATTCGTTACACTTCGAAAGATTCTTAGTATATTTGGGAGGAACAGAACAACCGTGAAATGACTCAGAGTCAACAATGGACGTGTTCCTTTTTTACTGATAGTGCAACCATCATGACGCCACAACAGTGCACTGTCGCAGCCGTTCCAAACTTACTGTGTATTACCAGCACTACTATAATGTCATATTTTAGAACGATTTTGCAATAGATTGACAGTAGTGTAAACAGACATGGATAAACGTACTAAATTGTAAATAAATTTTGAATGAAAACAGCAACGATAATTCTTCCAAAGAAGATGAACTAATTATGGGATCATCAATTCAAGCAGTTTGATCTCGTGTTAAAAACTGAACAATTAATGAATACATACATTCAGTTGTGGAATTTAAGAATCATTTTCGAAAATGAATGTATGTGCATCTTCTGCAGTTAAATATAATGTATATATTTTTTTATTTCCTGGATCGAATATTTCGATGCTTCTTTAAATAAGCTTTCGTTGGCGACGCCACTGTACTGCCTTACCCCGAAAGCCGTAGTAGGCAATATGGTTATCATTTATGACGTCATTGAGGGAACTAGACACTGTCGCAGCACGCTAGAAATAGTGGAACAACTTTTCAGTACTGCCAGTACTGGCAGTGTATATCGGAACACATCCAATAATCGCTATATCTAGCGTTCGTATCTAGCCAATCGGCAAATTGGACAATATCAATCACAGCTTTTAATACCGGGAACCGCGAATTTTGTATCTCACTTATAGCCTTAAGTTAGATCGAAACTGAAGATTGGTCGTATCTCCCTGAGACGTAACATCAGCTATTTTTAATAATTTAATGAATCTCATGATTGGCTGCCAGTCAAGATGCTTAGTACCGGTCGCGCTTTTCTGAGTATCGATCATGTAAGGGTGGAGTCCAACGCGTAATCGCGTAACTAAGCGATCCGCTGTTGTGGTTTCGCGTTTTACTAATTATTGATTGATTACGCGGTTATGCGATACGCGATAAATATATCTCATGGGATTCCACTAACTTTTTCTCTAGAGCGAAAACGTGAAAAGTGAAAATTTTTATGTATGTACAGTCAAGTGAGTGTCAATTATGTCTTTTTCCTTAAGGTGAAAATGTAAAAAGTGAAAATTTTTTATATATATGCATACACACATAAAATTTTTCACTTTTTACGTTTTCACTCTAGAGAAAAAGTTACATGATCGATGATGTCCTGAATTAAAAGGTTACAAGACTTTTTTTTGATGGGTTTCGAAACACAACCTACCATCAAGCGATTGATTTTTATTGTCAATCCATAAATAAGAATCAATTACTCGATAAGCAAGCTGCGTTCCGAAATCCATCGAAAAAAAGTGTTGCAATCTTTTTGTCCCTGACCACGGTGTAAGAATAATAGGTGATTCCTCTTGTTCATTTTTGTCCAGAAAAACTGTGGCGAAATTGAGGCAATACAGACATGTAACATTAGAGAGCATAATGATCTGAAATCTAATGACCTTTAAAATCTCTTCAATCCATATCCGTTCAAGCGTTTCTTTTACGATTAAAATCTACAGCTTGTATTTTCTTCCACAATTTTCACGATTCTTCCTTATTATCCTATGATTGGTCAATCATGTGTATAAATAAATGTACTAATAAATAATAAAATTATTTATTATGTTGTCACTTACCTTAATCTTACTCCTGTCTCTTGAAATGCTTCGGGCAAAAATGTTTTATATATAATTATATATATTTATATTTTTTAAATGTATCCTTTATGATTGTTAGTTGCATAAACAGTCTTCTCTTCAATTTGTTCACCTTTCTAAAAGACATTATTGATAAAAGCAATAAAAAAATTTTAGTTATATTAAAAATAGTTTCGATCTCGTCAAAAAAATTAATGGTATGCCAAGAAAATTATCAAATTGTATCATTCGACCTCACTTCGATGTATTCGAACATTCCTAACGATCTAGCTTTAAAAAGTGTCTTGGAAAGATGGGACTCGATATGCAACATGATAATACCGTTCCACGAGTTTAAAATAGCAATTTCAATTATTCTAAAGTTTACTTTTTTTAAATTCAATAACGAAATTTATGAATATTCGGTCTGCCCTTGGGATCTCCTCTCTCTTCAATTCTAGCGGATTTGATGATACAAGATTTGGAATGTAGCATTTTTAAAACATTAACAATACACGTTCCACTCTATTATCGCTATGTTGATGACATCATCATTGCAGCTCCTAACGAGCATATTAATTTTGTACTCTTTTATATCCATTTGAATTTTTACAACTATTAACAACAAGATCAAGGCGTTGTCCAAAAGCAATTTTGAAAACATTAGGGAGGAAAAAAAAAGATATTGCCAACTCGAATTTCTCCAGGATTGTTAAAAAATATTTTACCATTCCGTTACCATTTCTATATAATCTCTAAAAAATTCAAATCTATTATAAGAAAATTCGATTTCAACATAGCTTATAAACCAATGAATTGTATGAACAATTTCATTAAAACAGGCAAAAACAAAATCAAAAAAGAAGAACATTCTAATGTTGTTTATAAAATTAATTATCATGATTGCAATTACTCTTATGTAGGACAGACAAAAAGAAAATTAAGGACGCGTTTAAAAGATACATAAATGATTTTAAAAATCTACTAATTCTTTGTCTCTCGTCACAAATTTGATCATACAATTGATTGGAAAAATGTTAGTATTCTCGATTCAAAACAATCTTATTATAAAAGGATGGTCTCCGAAATGATCCATATTATAAACGACAATTGCTTAAACAAACAAAGTGACACAGAAACACAGAACGCTTTCCTAAAATTTACTTACTAATCATCGGAAAAATCCTCTCTATCCACACATAGAACTATCCTCTCCATTAACATTCTTTTTTTCCTTCACTCTATATAAATACTGTTCCCGAGTGATGATCTTCCAAAAAATTTGTCAACAGTAGTTCTTATCATTTGTTCAAATTTTTCCTGGTTTTTTTAAATTGGAATACTCAAAGTTACATCTGCGAGGATTTGTGTTTAAAAAATACGTGTACGGTAAACGAGCTTTAATGTGAATTTATATTGACCTTCATAATTAATTAATCATTATATTATCAAAAATATTTTAATTATTAAAAAGCGTTTTTCTTTTTCTTAATTTTTTAAATAGAATCTGGAAATTCCGTATTCTCACAAATCATTCTTTGTTTCCATAAAAAAGGAATCATAAACGGAACATACTACATGGGCTGAAAAGTCCCGG